TGAGTTATATGGGGATTGATTTCTTGTATAACTTGTATTGTTCGGAAGTGGTTTTCCTGAACTGTTGTTGCTGTATACATTTTTGTTTGGTAGATTTTGATCTTTTTTCATATATTGATAGAATGATTTATTTGGTTCTTTGTATTTTTGAGGTTTATTTTGACTATCTTGCTGTTTTTGTCTACATTCGGAAATACTATGTCCGTATCGGCGGCAATAATTACACCATTTTTTGAAAGATGGTTTGCCTTTAAAGTTCGGGTTCTTTTCGTAAATATTGAGTATTTCAGTGATTTTTTCAACGAGGTCTGTTTCTGATTCCTGTATATTATTAATATTAGTGGGAGTCGTTTCAATTTTGTTAACGTATTGTAATTTCAGATTTTCCGTTTCTTCTAGTTTCATCGTGATTTCTGCTTGTTCTAATTTGTCTACTAGTTTTCGAAAATCTAAATCGGGTTCTCGAATTGAAGAAGGATGGGATGCTCTCTTTTTTATTGCTATTTTCCTTAATTGTGGTGTTAAGGTCATCATTAAGATTTCTGTCATCTTTGTGTTTTTATAGTCATGTGTATTTAGTGAGTATGCTTTTCGAACTAGTGTTTCGATTCGTACTGCTATTTGCTTGATGGTTTCGTTTGGTAATCTGCGAATTTCATTACATAAAACTCTTTGTTGTTGTTTGTTTCTTTCGGAGTCAAACATTTTTGAAAATTCTTGTGTAAATCTTTTCCAGTTTGATTTTATTTCTAGAGGTAGTACTGAAAACCATTTTTGGGCTGCGCCATCTAAGGTTGTTTGTATCAACGCTGTGCGTCGATGTATCCAGTTTTGATGTAGTGGCGTATTAATTGGTTCAGGTCCTATATTTAAAATCAAATTTGCTGTTACTGCATTTAAATAATCTTCTACAGAGTATTCAGGGTCTGTTCCTGTGAAGACCATTAAAGGTTTATTTGATGTTATAGATGATCCACCCATAAGGTATGGATTCATTGTCATTTGTAATGATTCTGCTGCATTTGGCATTTGAGAAAAATTTGAAAGTTGGTTTCTTGTTATTTCATGTTGTTGGAGATAATATGGGAGTGGTATTTCATTTTGCATTTGTGATGCTTGATACGAGTGTGCAGTCATTGGATTTTGTTGTTGAATTGGTTGAAAAGATTGTGTATTAATTAGATTTTGTTGTTGAATTGGTTGTTGATGTTGTGCATCTATTGGTTGTGGAGAAAAATTTCTATGATTTGTACGTGTTCTCTGTATTCCTTGTCTACGATATTCTTGAGTATTTGGTGCAAATATATCTGGTTGTAAGAAATCGTCATCTGAGGATAAATAATCCATTTGATAAGATGTTTGTTTTTTATTTTTATTTTGTTGAAAAAATGGGTAATTTTCACTGCGATCCTGTGGAGGATTTGTTTGGAAATTTATTGAATTAGGTTGGGTCATTGGGTTATCCCAATTTCGAGATTTTGTATATTGATTAAAATTCCTTTGTGGTTGATAATTTGTTTTTGACGGATGTGTATAATTGTAATTATGGTCTGCAAAGTTGTTTCTAGTGAATGTTTTGCGTGTTTTTGATGGTATTGTCATGGGTCTGTATGTTTGGTAATCCATATGTGAGTATTTAGGGGCAACCGAAGGTTTAACGGTTGATTGTAAGGTTACCTGTGTTTGTGAAGGGTTTGTATTTCTTGGTGTTGTTAAATTTGGGCGTATTGGTGAAATACTTTGTTGTGTAGTTGTTGTGTGTACAATTTCTTCATTTATGAAGTGTGATGGTGTCTGGATATCTTGTTGAGTAAGATTCCTAGTTCCATTAAGGTTTTCATTGTGTATAACTGTAGAGTTTAAACTATTATTTTGTGTATCGGGTAAAAATGTATTATAGTTTAATGGTGTTGCATCAATTGTTAATGGTATTACTCTTACGTAATCTCTTATGTAAGATATTGTACCTATTGCTTGACTTGAGATTGATTGTGGAAAGCTTATAAATGCGGGATGAGACCATTCGGGGTCCCAAACATAATCTGATTGTTCTGTGATAGCGGTATCATCGTTCGAATTTTGGGGTCTAAAATTTTTTCTTGCTTGTGCAATTAAATCAATATTGTGTGTGAAATAATCTATTATGAACCATGCCAAAATTTTTTGTAGATCGTGTTTGGTATGTTGTGAAACGTCGTCTTTCGTGAAATTTTCTTTAATGATGTTTAAATAACTAGAGAGTAGTGTAATTTCATGTCGTACTTTCAAATGTTTAGATGTTTCTGTCGGTGAGACATTTGTTAGTGGGATTTCGTTTTCTAATATCGAAATATAACTATATATTATTGCGAAAACTTCATTGGTGAATATGGAGTTTGCTCTTTGTGAGTTATGATATTGGATGCTTTTTATATATTCTGAAAAAACTTTTGAAAATTCTAAATCAAGATCGTCTGTTTGTATAGTATATGTTCTATTATTATGGTTTGGGGAAGTGAATTCTATGGAGTAGATTCCATACTGTTGTGTTATGTTGCATATATCTTTTAGATAGTGATCTATGATTTGTCTTTTGATTTTTACATCGGGGAACTCTGTTTTACATGGACTGATTCCGGGTTCAAATAAATTTACGAGTAAATTTTGACAAAATATGTGTTGTCCTCTATCAGTATCTGCGTCTACTATAAAAGGAAAGATTTCATCATCATCTGGAGTTTCGTCACCTGGAGTGTGCGTTGAGCTCATTTTTTCGTTCGATGACTGTTAATATGTAATTATTAATGTGTCGAATTGGTTGATTCCAATTGTATAGATGTACTGGTTTGTGTTTGTACTGCTTTTTTATTCTTCTTTTTCCTCTTTGTGATGAATTTGAAGTTGTTTCTGAGTCAGAAAAATATAATTGATCGTGAAGTGGGTAATTTTTATCTATTGATTCTTTTAGTTTGTAAAGTTCGTCTAAACTGTTGGTTTCTGATTCTGAAAATGCGTTTCGGTTTTTTGAAAATCTTTTTCGTGTTATTTGTCTTTGTTTAGTTATTATTTTCCTCTTTAGTGTTTGTCGTTTTGTGCGAATGTATCCAACTGTTTGTGTATGAGGTGTGATTACAAGGTCGTATTTTTTGTTATCTATTTCACAATTGTGTAAAATGATTGTTTGTTTATTTCCTAGGTTTTTAAATGACATAAGGTTTAGAATGACGGATGCAAAAAGTTGTTAAATGATTTCTATTTTCTTAAACTGTTAGTTCTTACGATTTTTTGGTTAGCTTAACCTGGGTCTATTTGTTCAGGGTTGGAGAGAAAAGTATATCGATTCCGAAGAATGATTTTTACTTTCTCGTGACTAGTATAAGCTAAGGTGTTAACTTACTTAATCTTACTTAGGGGTAGTGATTGTGTTCAAGGGTTGGAGAATAGTAAATCGATCCACAAGGTTCAGGTATAATTAGAACGCGAGTAGTTCGTTAGATACTATTTTAAACTTACTAAGTCTAAGATTTATCCTGGGTCTGGTAAGAGGGGGGTCAAGTGAAGGATGAATAACCGAAGTTCTTCACTGTTTATCCTAATTTGAATGATTAGTTTTGTTTAAAAATTTCTATTAGTCCTGGGTTTTTAGAAAGGGTTGGGTAGTGAATCGACGTTTGAGGTCGTTAGACACTAATTAGGTGGGTGGGGGAGAACAAAGTTGTTCTGTTTGATCCAAGGATAAGCCTTGATGATCAAATTTGAAATTTAATTAAGTAGAAAATGATTTAAGATCCAAGGATAAGCCTTGATGATCTGGTTTTAAAATTAAGTGAATTTAAGTTTTAATAAAGTTTTAAATGTGTGTAAAGGAAAGATTTAGTGTTTTGATGATATTAGTGGGTTTATGATTGCTGTTATGTTTTAGATGATGAAGCTGGAACAACAAGATGATTTATGATTACTAACCATTTATTGTCATGCTACTAATTTTTATTTTTATTTTCCAATAAATATTTTTCAAACATGTTTTGTATAATACTGCAGAGTTTTAGGAAAACGATCTTAGATCTTTTTATCAATCGTTATTGTATAATATTAATTTTGTTTAGCGCCTTAAATGATTTTGAAGAGTAACTTCAAGGTTTTATGTTTGCAAATGGAAATCTAAATTCATTGCAAGTAGTATTCGAAATATAAAAGTTTGTTCTGGCTTTTGCCGAACTATCATATAACTATACGGCAAGTTTCTACTTTGTCGTATGTCGTCTTTGGTTCGAGGTCTTCTTCCAATTCCGGGTAGTTCTATTATGGTTCGGAATATTGGCTCTGATCTATTGAGTCGGAGAGACATTTCAATTAAATTATTGTCGTATAACATTTTGTAAATGTTTTTGTCTAATTTCTAATCTATTTTTGGTTAATTCTAATCTAGTAAGGTCTTGTTCGAGACTTATGGTCGCACCAGATGAGTTAGGACCGAAGTGTAACTCATAGAGTAATTTCGGATAGGGTACACCGTCTGCTCGTCACGCTATCTTATTTTCGGCCGGATAGATTCGTGCAACTTCTTAGTCTAATACCGATCCTAATCTTACTCTTATACTATCTAGTCTCAGGTTGTTTAACTAGTCTCTGCTAGGCTCAATAGATCTAGGGTATACTGGTTTATTGCGGCTGCTGAAGTGCTCGGGAGAGTCCAACTAATTTCTAAGTTAAATTCAAATCTCTCTGGTGCTGAAAATACAAGTAACTTCAGCACTTACAAATAAGTGGGTTGTTAGTTAGATGGATCATGATTGGTTAATATTAAATACTTTACATTGGTAAAACATTTAATTTATCCAATCATAAAATATAGTTTAGATCAGGTTCCAAAACGAAACTTTTGCGAAAAAATTCGGCAGACACATTTGAGGGATGAAATACGATCGTCAAACCCAGCAATCTTGGCTACTCTGCTGTATTGAATATGTAAATTCAAGCCCCTATTTCTAGCTCAACGCCACGGCAGCAATTTTTTCTAGGCATCAAAGAACGCATCTCGCGTGCGACTGAGATGACCCAGCAAGCACTGGCCGACTCACAAGCCGAGAACCAAACCCTCGTCTCAATTGAGAGACAGCTGGACTACATAGAACAGCAGCTGAAGTTGATCAACCCGGCTCAGTACCAGGAGACGGTGGATAAGTTCTCGCGTACTTTCAAAGAGCTGGAGGGTCAAGTGAATGACACGCAGAAATTCATCGCCGAAATGACCAAACTGGTTAGTTTAAGGAGCCGGAGTTCAAAAAAATAAATATGACAACTCCATGTATAGCTTAGAAATTAAGCATATCTGCGCCAAATTGAAATTTTAATGTTTGTCAATATGAATAGCGAACAATCCGGGAGTAATAAGCAGAAAGAAGGTAAATTTTATAAAAACTAACAAGACAATCATAACTCGGGCACTATAGAGTTTGTTTTGTTTGTAGCTGCAGTAAAGGAAGTCAGATACAAAAAACCTTTTCGAAAAAAGCGACAAAAGCACATTTAGCATTACGTTTTATTCTGATTGAGTTTAATTACACATTTCAATGTTTTTCCCCAGATGTGTGGCGGTGGGGACTTTTCTGAAGTGGGCAGCTGTGAGTCCTGTGGGGGTCCCAGATGTGCCTTCTGTGGCAACATGCCCACTGAGGAGGGCATAGTGCTGGCCACATGCAAAGGAGCAGCCACGTATGCCCGGAAGGCAGACTCCAAACTGCAGGAGATCATTGCTCTGCTGGACCGGAAACTCATGAGGGCCAGGGAGGTGTTGCAAGAGGTAAGATTGGGGAGGGGCTAATTTTTGATTTCCAAATTCATACATATGTTCGCTGGAGTGGGTTTACGATTCTTTTGAGGGGGTGAAGTCTTAAGAAGTTTTGAAAATTTTGTCAAATTAATTTTTAATTTTTAAACTCTCCGTAAACAATATCAGAGCCTTTTCTGCTATAAATATTTTCGCCGCATGCAACCTCTTAAAAACATTGACGACATTGAAAACATTTGAAAATTTTGACGACCTTTTTTTAGGTCGACCAAATTGATTTTCTGAGCTCTTCTAAATCACTTGGAAAAACCCCAATTTGATCAAATATTTTGCGCCGCAGGCTGATTTTTGAAAAAACAGGCCAAAAAAATCGCGGTTTTTTGGACCGCGCTTCCCCCTCAAAAATAGTATATTTTGTCGCAGAAGGTGCCTTTAGGAAAATTTTAGGGTCAATCAGCCAAAAATGGATACTTCAAAATAGTACAAAGGGGGGAGGGATAACCCGCCCTCTCTAAATCTGCTGGAAGAAGTAGCATTTACAAAATACAATTAAGTTTTTTGCTGATTCGAATACTCTGCTCATTTTCGGTTGGCTGAAGATTCGGGCTGACGCTTCGTGTTTCTTTATGTTTCTCTTCTGTCTTTTCTTTAATAGCTACTAAAAATTTGCACTTAAGAAATGGAGAACCCAAAAATCTTCAGAAAATGTTTTTATGAATAATTAAATAATTCAATACGATTTCATTCAAATGTAAATTTGAACATGTAATTTGAGAAAAAATGTCTGAGTTCGGATTCGAAACAGTTCATGAAATGTACTTGTCCCAATTTTTTCAAGAAACCATTGTTCATTATAAAAAAATATTCATCAATTAATTATTTCAATGGCGGTAGTTTTAGCAGTCGGAGAAATACGCGATTAAGCTCAAATTGTTTAATTTTTTTTTTAATTTACCATCTACATTACAACAGTAATGAATACTATTATAAGGCATGGAGGGTGACCCAAAGAGAATTTCATCTCATCGAGTGGGACACCTCGAAAACTTAAAGAGCAGAGACATAAAGTCTCCAGAGTGGGCATCAATTAAAGAGCAGTTTGTGTAAGAATTCATTATCAAAAATATAATTATGGAAAAAAAATTCCTGAAAACGGTTCAGTTCTGATTTATTTAATTCGAAAAAATCTTTTGGAAGTAAATTATTCTGAAAAACAAAATTATATGCTATTGCTAGCCTACGTTTAAGAGAGAATTTCATGGCGTTTGATTTAAAAGCTATATTTGTAATTTGTTTTTTAATCTTGCTGCGGGTGTGAGGAAGTCTTTCTAGGCTCGATAAACTCAAAAAACTATTCATATCGGGGCATCTTAAAAATTCAAATAATTCTTTGAAGAGAGACTTCAGAAACATAATAAAGACTGAAGAAATTTTGTTTTCACTCATATATTGGGTTATTGGTTCAAATTTGCGTTTGAAGAATATAGCCCGCGTTATGCGTTTTTGTAGTTTTAAAATTGAATCGAGATGAGTTTTATATGTATTGCCATAAATAAGAATACCATATTGAATTACGGATTGAGCATATGCTCTGTAGAACAACAGAAGACTTGCTTTCGGAAAAACGTCACGACATTTGTAAACTATTCCACAGAAAGTTGATAACTTTTTAACAATGCCACATATATGTTGCTTAAAACTCAGTTTATTGTCAATTTTTAATCCCAAATATTTAACAGGCAATTGGTAGTTCGATTGAAAATTATCTCCAAATACATTGATCATTTCAACATTTTTACCGAAACTCATAAAAACGCTCTTTTTACAGTTGATTGTCAGGCCATTACAATCAATCCATTTTTCAATATTTTTCATTTCGTTTTCAAATGTGTTTGTCCTTATTGTACTTGAATAACATAAAGTTGTATCATCTGCATATAAAACTGGTTTAATTGTATTAAAAACAATCGGAAGATCATTAATAAAGATTAGAAACAACAGAGGTCCTAAAAGAGAACCCTGCGGAACGCCACATGTTAAATGTTCTATTCGAGATTCTTTTTGGTCAAAAGCAACATATTGTTTGCGATCAGTTAAATAACTCCGGATAAGTTTGTTCAGTTTACCCCTTATTCCATACTTATCTAACTTAAGAATAAGTAGCTCATGGTTTATTGTATCAAAAGCTTTTTGGAAATCGATGAAAAATGTTTCACCGTAACGGCGTTTATCAATAACTTCTCGAATGAACTCGGTAAATTCTAATAAAGCATCAGCGCAACATTTTTTAGGTTGAAATCCGTATTGCTCTGGTGTGAGAATTCGATATTTTCTTAGAAACTTATACATTTTGCCAAAAATGATCTTTTCAAAAACCTTGCTTATCGAATTGAGTAAACTTATTGGTCTATAGCTTTCTGGTAGTTGACAATTACCATCTTTAAAAAACGGAAGCACCTTTGCAATTTTTAATGCATTCGGGTACGTTCCTTGCTTTATACATTGATTAAATAACTTTGACAAAGGTTCGCTAATAACCGTCGACGAGAGTTTCAAAATTTGATTACTTATACCATCCGGACCTGAAGACCCCTTATTTTTAATAAGAATAATTGTATCAAAAACTTCTTTTGTTGTTATTTCCTGAAAAACCATTGAATTAGGTACAGATTTAACATGCCTTAAGGCAATTTTATGATTGACTTTTTTACCACTTAATTTATTACCAATTTGTGCGAAAAACTGATTGAAGACATCAGCTTTAACTTCTATTTTGGCAGATGTTTTGCTTTGTATGATCGTTATATGCCTGAAAAATACTTTTATTGTTTTTCGATTTTTCGATTTTTTGTTGGTAAAATTTTAGTTTCGAATTTCTTATTAGCGATGTGGTTAAATTTTGGGACAATTTTTTATTTCTCTAAATTTGTCGGAGTTGGATCAATTATCCATTTTTTGTAGAACATGTTTCTCTTTTGCATTTGCTTTTTAATATCCTGGGTAATCCAAGTTGGTTTTGCTTTATTATTCACCTGAGATAATGGGCAAAATTTATCTAAAATACGTGTTAAGCTGTTTACAATGTAAGTTATCTGCTCATCAGCGTTTAGTGAACTTTGCATTTTATTGAGTTTTTCATGTAGTAAGAAAAGGAAATCCACCAGGTTTTTGTCATTTTTCAATGGATTTATGTTTCGGAAAACGCTCTGTGTTTTAATGTCATTTTTACTTTTAAAGTCATCAATTTCAAGTAAAATTGAGTAATGGTCACTGATTACAGTTTTTAAAGTATTTGTTTTGTTCAAACAAGACTTGGTAAAAATATAGTCAATACAAGACTGATTTGAAGATGTAACACGTGTGGGTTCAAAATTGCGTTGGAGAAACCCATATGAATTCATTAATGTCAAAAGATTCTCACTAGTGATTGAAGCATCAAGTGAATCTATGTTAAAATCACCACATATTGTTGTTTGGTTTTTCCAAGTAGCCACCGTATCCAGGAAAGATTCTAGCTTTTCATAAAAGTCGTTTAGTGCAGAAGATGGTTTTCTATACAAAACAATAAAATTTTTCGATTGTTTTTCATTTTTAACAGATATAGCTAGAAACTCAAGATCTGATTCCAATTGCAATTTTGACACCTTTAAATCCGATCTAACGAAAAATGCACAACCACCTCCGCGAGTACTTTTTCTGTTAGTAGTTAATATAGGTTGGTAGCCTTCAACTGAATAAATTGATAAGGGATCCTTGTCCGTTAGCCATGTCTCGCAAAGGGCTATTATTGGTGGCTTAACCTCAAAGTCGTCAATAAGAATTTTTAACTCATCATAATGACATCGCAAAGATCTAATATTCAAGAAAAAAGAAAACTGCTATTTAATACGCCCACTTGTCTCCCCTCTAGGAGTTCTCGATAATATAATTTACTCATTTATCAACAAAAATAAGAAACAGAAAAAATTAGGCGCTGAATTGCAAGCCACGCTCAAACATTCTTGTATGCTTCATCAATCCCAACCCCATAGAGCATGCAAGAATGTATGAACAACTATGAACCTTCCTCGTAGGGATTTACAACATATTCTGAAAGAGTTTTTCTGTTTTTGCATAATTGCTCCAATAATTGTTCCCCTTCTTGCTCTGGGGAGAGAATAGATTTAATATTCTCCGCCCGTTGAATATTATTTGCTCTGATTGGTGTCGTATTTCTTTCATAATCAGATACACTATAATTTTCCGTAGATTTTCCAGTTTTCGACTGAAATTTGTCAGATTTCTTAGTCGCTAAGTGTTTCATATCATCAATCGCCTTTTTCGAACTAACGGGAAAAGATTTGTAAATTCCTCTGTCGTCCATTTTAAACATTTTAACCTGACAATACTGACTGGTATTTACAAGACCCAAATCATCAGCGTACTGTTTGAGTAGACGGTCTGCCGTTGGAAGCCTTTCCTTGATAAAAATTTGTTTGTTGTTATTCGGGTTTCGAATGTTAGCCAACCAAGATTTTCTGTTGTAGATTTCACTTTTTTCCCCAAAATATAAAAATTTAACTATCACAGCTGGGGGATAATTGATATTTTTCCACGTTCCAAGCAAGTGACAGGCTTTAAAATTACTCGGGCTAGTTTTATACTGAAGAAATCGGGCCAAAAAATCGCATAAATGATGTGACAACGGTACCTGATTGTTTACTATTGGCAGGTTCTCCAAAATTAGGCAATCCTTAGAAGAATACCTTTCCTGTGCAGATACTCTTTGCTCCAAATCATCCACTTTGTTCTCAAGATCTAGAATAATCTCATCTTTTTTGCCCAGATCCGTCAATAATTTATCGAAAATCTGTCTCACATTGGTGTCGGAAATCTTTTCCAGCATCGAGGAATACATATCTTTCTCAAAACGTGATCCCATGTTAAAGGAACTCTCAGTTAAATACATAAGTTTGGAATTAGTAGTAAAGAAACTTCACACGTAAAGAACGAATTGAGAAATTCGAAGCAAAACAATTTGTTTAAACGCGGCAAGAAAAAGCGACTATTCAGCGCTGCTCATTTCGTTGCTGAATCCTTTTTATTTGAATCCTTTTTATCGTTGTAAGACAAAACTTATAGAAAATTCTTTGAAATGCTTCAATTTCTTGATGCCAACTATTACCCGATGAAATTGAAACGTTTTCAAATGACCAATTTTCAAGATTTTTTCGTCTGCTCAAAAACATTTATATTATAGATAATGTTCAGCCGATCGACATGTTTTTCTGATTTTCTTAGATCATTTTTTGTCGTTACTTAGTTGTGATAGTAATTACATAGGTACCTTCTTGTTAGTCTGAATAGCCTGTTCTAGCTATCCTGATGCAGTGAATCATTATGCTGTAATGTACTTTCTACACAGTATCGAATGAATTGAATCTTGATTACTTTTTAAGGCAAAACTATCAAAATAAATCATCAAAATTGCATCGATTGGAGTTAAAATTGTGTTTTCTCAGATCTTGATTTAAGTTAGATGTTGCTTTTTAGGTAAACGAAGCCCTCTCATTGGTCGAAATCACTTCCCTCTCAGCCGAGGAGCTCAGACGAAGAGCGGAACTGGCGGAAGAGACTGCCTCTAATCTGAACAAGACATTCTCTGATCAACTGGCCGCTATAGCTGGACAGAAGGCACTGAGTTACAGATACCTAGATGATGTGTCCCAATTGTTGAAGGCCATTAACAACTTCAAGATGCCAAATATTACCAAGGAGGATATTGCAAGTAAGTGCAGAGGAATTATAAATATTGGTATGGTTATTTATTTAATAGTCTGTCAGTTTTAAAAAAACATCCCGTAGAAATTATGAAAAATGTACCACCAGCTTTTAATTTTTGATTCTTTTTGTTCCGACCATTGAAAATCAGAAGGAATTTTGTATTCGGGTGTGTTTTAATTTTTTTTATGTTTTTTTTTTGTTTTCCGCGCAAATTTAGGTGCCACAAATAATTATCGGTCTGGGTTGAGTGGTATATCAAATTAAAGCCCTTATAAAATTTGTAAGATCGCGATTTTCACACGTGATAATCGGACCAACCTCGTGCGTCGACGGAAATTAGGCGTTGGCGCAAAACTATTGGCGGGGGAGTTGAAAGATAGTTCAAAAAAAGTGATACTTACCAATTCAGATAGCTAATTTTATCCCCATGTTATTTTGAATGTAACCAATTTGATAAAATAAGATCAAAAGTCACCAATTTTAACAAATGAACGCAATCTAAGAAACACGATGATTTATCCTGTACGCAATCGATCCGAATTGGTTCATGAATATCAGGGTCGATATTCGCGTAGTCCTGGGTGTGGACCGGGCGATCCCCGGCGGTGAATATGGGGACAACCGACTTTCGTGTTCTTTTTCTATTTCCCGAGTTTTCGACGGGCATCATTAGAGTCTGGCATATGTTCGCCCGCGTTTTTAGCGATAGATGATACATCGGAACGATGTCTAGGATGACCATTCGCTCTTCCTTACATTTGGTGCAGGTTACGGTGACATCTTGGCAGTAACCTCGTAAGTTTTCTGCGCGGTATTGCGCGAGACACTTTTGCTGTAAGACCTTGCAGTCGCCAGTATGTTTTAAATCTGCCTCATGAATACGACGAAGGGTATCTTCTATATTATTTTCGTGTAACACCTCTTGGCCGGCGCCAGTAAGCTTAGAACCGTTGAGTGATTAAGACCTAACTTTCCTGCGAAAGTCTCTCTTTTGCCTTGAGGTAAACGTAGGGGGGAAAACTTCCCCACCCTCAGCCTTAGCCCTTAGGTAATCGACGATATCAGTGTAAGATTGGTAATTCATGATGAAAACGGTCGAAAATTGCGCAATTTGATTTTAACGTAAACTGACTGTATAACCTTGTAGCAATGAAATTAAGTGATAGATAAGCTTAGTTAGAGAGCAAACAATCGGACTTTGCACCTTGAATTTGACCTCTAGTGCGAACAATTAAAAAAGCGCGCAAAATCTGGAAACCCCCCCCCCATGGATTGGGAACCACTGGTCCGATCCTTATGAAAATTGGTGGGTGACTAATAGAGATGATTTTAGCTGGGCATGCCAATTTCCAGACCCCTGGGACCCCTGGGAGGCGAGTGATAATGGTTTCCGAAAATGCAATTAGCAATTTTTGTAAACCGGTAACTAATGGTCACAATGACTTCATATTGCAATATGTTGTAGCCCTAGGCGAGGGAAGTTCACCATCGGGATTTTGAACGCATCCGGTTATTACTCCCGGTTTTACACCCTATGTAAACAAAACCCACTTTTTGCTATTTCTCGACCCCTGAAAAAGCTAGGAGGCTAAAACTTGGGGGGATGGTAGGTTGGGGAAAGACCTATAATGTATTATTGTTTGGACCCAATCCGGCGGCTACATCGGAAGCTATTAGCACTTGAAAATTGAATTAGGCTATTAATACCTGATAGTGATAATTGACTTCTGATATTAATGCTCCAATGTGAAGGGGGGCCCAACCCAGTAGGGGGACTCCTGGTGACCCAATCCTCTCCGGAACTTCCTATGGGGTGAAAATGGCAATTTTAGGGAAAAGTGTTAATTGACCAATATTTTTCGAAAATATGGGAAAGGATTGTCCGATATGAATGAAACTTAGTGGGAATGATCTCCCATCAAAAATAGGACGTTTGGACACGTTTGACCTCATTTGACCTCGGATGACCTTTAATAGGTCATTTGGCATTTTGACCCCAAGACCCCCGGAACCCCCTGAAAAGCGATAAATTAGCATTGTAAGGACCCGTAAGGGGTACCTACCCACCTGGGGAGGTAAAGGGAGGCCCCTAAATTGAGAATTTTTAGTTTTGACCTTTGTACCCGAGCGGAAGTGATTTTCTGTAATTAGCAAACATTGGGGTCAGCTTAACCCACTCCACTTGGACTTTCGATAAGAACGACAAACGAGTAAAAATACAGCCCCGGACAAAAATTGGGAACATCTATGGGGGGAAATGGGATTTTCGGGATGAAGATTTTATGAACAGCCCTAGCATATTAAATAAATTCTTGTGGTGTTTTTTCGGATCAAAACGGACACGGGGAAGGGAATTACCCAGCCCTTGGACTTAGGGGAATAAAATTTAAAATGACCAAAAATGGAAATTTTTCAAGTATCATGGAAGTTAAATTCCCGGTTAGGTGAGAAATAAACATTTCATGGGAAAGGGAAAAAGAAGTTAGGAAGAACTAAAATAAAATCACGCTAGGGGTCATTTGTCAAATACGATTGGGAGCTGATTTTGTAGTTGAACCCAATGTTTGCTCAGTATGTCCTGATTAACTAAGTGCCACCCCGATGTTTAATTAAAGCTGACCTAATGGTTGATACAGCTGATAAGTCCTGAGTGGCAGCTAGTTAAGTGAATGTTAGTGGGGATAGGGAACGGTACGCCTCTGACCGAACCGAAAGTAAATAAAGATAACGATACGCGATTAAGGCACAACCACCGAACTGGACAGAACAGTGTTAACTACTATTAAGAGTAGTTGGTTCTCAATCAGAGAAGAGAGCAATTGATACTGAGAGAGAGTATAGTTAGTTCTCCGTTAGTTAGAGAGAACAGGGTAGAGACTTATAGAATTCAGACGGGTCCTGAGAGTGACTCGTGAAATTTTTAAAGTGAGTTCTCGACGCGAGATTTTTAGTGAAGCTTTGTGAAGCAAAGTTGAAGAGTTTTTTTAGAATTATTTGTAAAGTGAACTGCAAGAGGCAGCTTTCCGGAACTTATCGCAGATTAAATTCATTGATACTTAATAAATTGTATTCAGGCCACTTAGCGGTCCTTATACTCGACAATTTATATATTTATTTCTGAATTCAATTACTATCCAGTTTTTTGAGCAAAGGGGGCGCAACCCAGTGTAGTACATTGATCGACCATCAAATTCAACCTTTCAACCGAAGGGATTGTCACCAAATACCGAATCACAGCTCACCCCTTGCTGGTTCTGGTATTTAGGGAAGGGACTTAGCGGACAATATAGAAGGGATATATTGGGTCTAAACAGTCAAATTCCCCAAGATGACAAAATTCTGTCGTGATTCCATCGGGGTTTCAAATTTTTTCAAAAAACTTTTCCTGGTATTGGGAAAAACCGGTTTGAAAATTTGTTTTATTGTCTAATTTTGATCAAGTAATTCGCAGTCTAGTAGTAAATAAGCCACAATTTTTTTTCAGGCCCTGAAAATTCTAGTGAAAATTAGTTTTCAAAATTTTTTTAGCGCCATCTTGGGTATAAGTAATTTCAAAAATTAAAAAAATTTTCTGCAAAAAATGAAAAAATGAATGAATTAATAAATATTCTGTTTTTTTTTTTCATAGTTTTTTAAGAATATGGTCGGAACATTCTGTACTAATTGCACAGCAACCGGCTATCTATGTTGTACTTATGAAAACCTCTCGTCCTCTTGCCATTTACGCATTTTGTTTTCTTTTTCAATGGACATCCTTTTTTGAAAGTATTGGAAAAAAAAATTATCTCAACACCATTCAACTTGCAGCTTTGTCAATAACGTCTCATTCAAAGACAGCATATTTCTTTTGATTATTGGTTTAATTTCTGGGCTCGTATTCTGTAAGAAAAGAAAGAAAGAATTTATTTCTTATTGTTTATGTTGTAAACGTTCTTTCATGTAAGTGTTCACTGCCTGGGTTAACGAGCTAGAATTATAATCCGACTCAAATGATCCAACGATGTGCCGGCCCACCCAGTCGAATGAAACCCTCAGACGAATTAATAGGTCAAACATGGTCAAAAAAAGCCAAGCAATAATTTACTAAATGCTATAAAAGTTGCTTTTTCTGTTTTATTGGAAAAAATGAAAAAAAAAATGTGTTTTTTTTTGTAGATCTTGAACGTGAGATGCGGAGTGTGGAGGCGCAGGTGGGGCAGATGGAGAGGGCCACTGAACAGATGCAGGCCAATGCGTCTCTAGTCAGACAGCTGCTCCAGGACGCACTCAGTGCAAGGTGTGCTTATTTACCCTCCACAATCCTTTGTTTTCACGCAAACACAGTCACCTAATAATTTTTCTTATAAAAAAAAAATAACAAATTTAGTGAAAAGTTTTATACAATTTTAATACAAAATCTGTAACTTTTTGTTTGTGGCTAAAAAGCTTCTAATTTGAAAAAATCAGTGTATGAAAAATGTGACCCGGTTCTCTGACCAATTTAAATTAATTCTATAAAAAAATTGCGACTTAACGCAAAACACTCATGATGATTTTTGATTATGTTCTGAGAAGGTTTGCGTCTGGACTTCGTTTCACTAAAAATTTTCCATTTTGTTCAGGCATAGAAACAATCTTAAAATGCATCTTTTTGCAATTTTTTGCAACTAAAAAGAGAATATAAATATTGTTTCTCAATATTGCAATTTTTTCCAGGAATTTTTTTGTCATTTTTGAACATAAAGTTACAATACAATTAAAAGAAATATGAAAACTGTTTTTCCACGAAACGAAAATGATTTCAAAATAAAATTTATTTCTTTTGAAATTGTCTTAATTAGGTTTGGAAATGATGTATGTGAAACTTTTTATGCGCGGACATTGTATGATAAGTATTTTTAATTCAATTAATAAAATCTTTTTTTTTGGTATTAAAATCTGATCAGGAAGCATCAGGGTAGTGAAAAAGACAAAAATTTGTGCTATTTTTTTTTAAAAAAATTGTTCATCAATTGTGTGAAAAATGTATGAGAAGCAGTTTTTATAGAATCCATGCGTGAACTGCATCATAAGCACTTTTTTTCAAGTCAGTCCGGGGAGCAACAAAGCAGCAGATTATAAAAAATTGTCACATATGTCAAATTTCAACTTCTGATAACTCAAAAAAATCTAAAATATGCATTAGCAAAACGATATAATACATTTAAAGGGAGCTTGCGGAGAGTGTGCTGGCTGATGTGAGGAAACTAGTTGACCTCCTGGATGACGCGGAGAAGTCCAACAACCTCACAGAGGATGCCATAGAGGACATCAAACGAAAACTGGCTCAGATGGGCGACAAAGAGGCCGGGGTCAGCATTTCTTTACACTCCGATCTGTTTTATTTATCATTTTTTTCCTGCTTTCCCATCTTCGACATTAATTTCCGCCTGAAATTTCTGATGATGTTGCTCGAAAATGGTCTTGAAAACTGTTCGGAACTGGCGGAAAATTTCCAATAAGTCGAAAGACAAAAATCACCAAAAACCCCAACTTACCCAAGCTATCAGAAAAAGAAAAATTACGTTCGTTGCTGTCTTTTTCAAAAAAAGATTTGATTGCTTTTTGTCTAAAAACTAAAACATGCGTGCGGTTTTTTCTCGCAATAGCTTTGCCCAAACTTGACTCCAAGCCACTGCATTTTTTGTACTGACAATATAATCCTTGACAACTTTTTTTCCTTAGCTTCGCACAGACATGTCTGGTTTGGACAAACTGGTAAATGACACGGCAGACTCTCTCAAGTCGGTGCTCCAGTGCAGGGACACTGTGGCCTCCCTCATGTCCAGTCTGACTGTGGAACTGACAGATGCAGAAGCAGTGGTCATACAGGCAAACGCCACAGTCAACAACACCAGGAAGGTTGCTCAATTCAATCGAAGCCATTAAAAATCTCATCAAATTCACAAAACTTTTTCTTGAAGTTAAAAGAGACAAAACTCATATTGAAATTAGAAACATTTCTTATGGAAGTTTTAAAAATTAAATGTGCAAAATTAAAAAAAAAACTAACAGAAATACTCAAAAATTTTTGAAATGGGTTTAAAGAAAATCAAACATATCAACGAATTTTAAATACTTCTTGAGATACTATCTAGAAAGACACAAAGTATCAATAAAGTTAAATGGGCAAAATGAAAGTTCAGTTTCAGGAGCCCAAAAAAGGTCGTTATTTCCCATTTCTTAAAAAAGTCAGGGTAGTTCTGAGTTTCGATCGAACTGCGGACTTTGCCAATCCAAAGGTTTTCTTCAAAGAACTTTTTTTAAATACCAGTATGTATTTAGCCGCAAGGGTTATCAAAGTCATGTCATGAAGAAGGTGCCGATTTTTTTTGTGTGTTCTTGACCATGAATTGACCATTTAAGGAAGCTGATGATCTTCGAGAGGAGTTTGACGGACTGGATGAATTCCTGGACGAGAAAATAGCCGAAACAAAAGAGATCTCGGACGAGGCTGCGGAGGCAGTGGACAGGGCCACCGAGTTGAGCACAGGCGCCCAGAGGGTGTTCGACAGGTTCCAAAACTGTAAGGCCACCATCGGTGATACCGGTTGATCATAAGAAGTTTGGTGTCCCTTCTGACGATGTGTTATTTTTTAAAACTTAAAGTTTTTGTATTTAATTCATCAGTAGGCTAATTTCAATTTTTATTCTCGCAACATGGTCGGATGTTTTTTGGACTCTTTCACGCATAAGCCCAACCCCCCCCCCCCCCCCCCCTGATAAAATTTTTTTTCAGTAAATAGTTTCAGTTGAAAGTTGTTGAGCTGTTTTACCCCAATTTTACTGATCTTTTAATAAGTTTCTGTTCTGTATCAAAACCGCGGTTCTGTAACAAATCCATTAACGTTTTTTTACATTAAAAGTTGATACTTTTGAGCATGCTTGCTTGACCTTTTATTGGCGCGCATTTAAACTAAATTATTTCAGTGAACAAACGACTCTATGACCAAATAAGGAAATTTAAGGACTACGAGACTAAGATAGACGCTCTCAATACCCGACTGGACGATGCGTGGGAAAAGATTCGATATCAGTACCAGCTGAAGTACGACCCCAAATGCGAGAGTATAAACTTCCCCCCGTCAGTTTAAAATAAACATTATGACGATATAAAACTCATCAGCTGTATAAGCTTTTTCGCTCTGTAAACTTTCAAACGAGCAATAATTTACTCATCCCAACAGTTTTAAAAAACAGTTTATAAAAAGTTGAATTATAGGCTCAGAACAATTTGCGTTTAAAATTTTTTGCTCTTGATTCCCGTTGGTGAGTTTTTAAGAAAAACCACAGTTTTTAGCATTCCGTTGTAAAATTCAACCCTCGAAGCATTGTTGACTAGTATTTTTCGTACTTCGTTTTTTCAACATGTTTTTTTCAAGATTTTCTTTCTTTTGATTGTCTGATTCCAATGAGTCAATATTTTGTCTGATGTTTCATATCAGGCATTACTAAACTTCCTTCTGTAAGTTTTTGCATAAAACATATATATTATGTATCCTTTTTTCCGTAAAAATATAAGTTAAAAATTTAGAAGTATTTGGCTTCGGACCATTTTCTTTCACCAAATAAGTTTTGATTTTTTAATTAGCCATTTTTTATTTATCATCTAAAAAAAATTTTTTCTTGTCAGCTCAATTTTTCAAATATACTTTTCTTCATGGGATCGAAGAAAAACAGAACAATTTTGCCTGGGAAGGTTACTTTTTTCAGTCAATTTTCGCCTATCGAAATCAAAATTCAAAAAACTATACACCAATGAAGAGATCACCTCCTTGAGATCAAATTTAAACAGGTAATTTGCCTCCGATAACTTTCTGTAAAACCTGTGGGTCTGAAAAATAAGACAAGCTAATCAGTCGCATCAAATAATTACACTCAGGATACATTCCAATTTTTATGGTTTTAAAATATTATTTAAACTATTTGGTACCAATTAAGGGACAGTCGAAGGAACATTCAGAGCTTCGCCCTGATATACGAGCAGTATTATTGAAAAGTTATGAGGATTTCAAAGTTACCTGTTTGATAAATTTGAGATACATTGCCTGCTATTAGAGTGTAAGCTACAGTTTAATCCGGTTCAGACATTGTTCCAAATTGAATTGAGACACGGTTTTTTTTCTAAAATAGTACGTAATTACATTCTTACGATATCACAACTTTCAATATTTCTTTCAATTGGCTTTTGTAAGGAAAAAAATGAATTAAATTGATGTAACTCCTATTTACTTTACAAATTTCAGCGCCAAAAGAACTAATTTCAAGCTTAGAGCAAAAGTTTTGTGCGTTTGTGCAAAACGACATCGAATCTATAGAAAATTTCAAGGAGGTTTGGAAGCAAAAAATATCATAAAAATTTGAAGTTTCTCATCGGCACTAACTATGGGCGTCCATATTAGTATTTTGCTGTAGTTTTTGCAGCCTTTTGGTCGATCAGTTTCAGCCTTCTTGATTTTAGTTTCATCCAGAGTTGGTGTCTGTCTTAAACAATTAAAGGCTTACAAGGTATAAAAAAAGTCTGCAAAAAGCAATCTAAAGAGGTTGATAATCAATAAACATTGTCCTAGAAATAGTTGATATACCAAAATAATAGAAACCAGAGTCGAATCTGAATTTTTGAAACGACCAAAATCTGAAACGACCAAAATATTTTCTTGAAACGTGCAAAAAGTAAATAAAAACTTCCAATCGAGGTACGAAATTGCCCTATGCAAAATATTTATGAATTCGAATTTCAGCTTGATAATTATACAGCACAAATTCTTTATGAAAGGTAAGCCCTGGTGATACAAACTGAAACTGGCTACATATTCATTTAAAAGAAAAAGAGCAGTGGTTTTTCAGAAAACTATTTAGAAAACAATATCAAAGCCCAATTAAACTGTTTTATTTTGCCCTACAAACATTGCTGCATAATTAAAAAAGAAATAGAAGCTCGTACCTAGTGGGTTTTCTATACAAGATCTGAAACTTTTGATTTCTTACATAAAGTGATTCTCAGATCTGAAATTCGTTTCTTCAGTTACAAGAATTTTAAATTTCAGTTTTCAAATTTGGATCAAAATAAAAACTTCTAGGTCTGAAATGACCTTGAAAAACAAAACCGAAGATCTGAAATTGGATCCTCGAAACCAATTGTTAAGTTACAAAATATGCATTTCGAGCAAACAATTAAGTTTTCATTCTTTTTGTTGTTTCTACATTACATAATTATAAATAAATTAACTAGCAGTAGAGAAAAACTTCCGAATAATTACACAAACCATTTTTTTCTGAACCAATTTTCGTGTTGAGACGTTTTAGAAAAATCTGCTGAAAGATCTATCAATTTTTTTATTCAAATGCGCTACTTATGCGTTGCCGATGTTCATTTCATGCGTTGGGAAACATTTTTCAGCAGTCTCCGATTGAGGAATTTGCTGAATACCCCTGCTATCAGCTAGCACAAGCTAAATATTCAGTAGAATAGCAAACTTTTCGTCGGAATCATTGGTTTTTTAATGTATGAAATACGCAAAAAAAAGCATCAGATCTAAAAAAAACCCGAAATAGATTTTTGTTCAGATCTGTAATAACCAAGAAAAACAAAATTTCTTAAGGTATCCAAGCGTTATTTTATTATTTGAAACCTATTTCAGATCTAAAATTTAGATAGGAAACAGCTTATTTCACATCTGAATTAGAACATTCACTGGGTACGGGAGTGAACAACCTAATTCTTTGCATAACTTTGCCCAATTGTTTTTTATATCTTTTTATTGTTCCGACTTTCGATACGGAAGTAACGGAATATTTGTGCTCGGGGTAGGTTTTTTTTTCTTCAGACAAATTTCGACTTTTAACTAGCCATTTTTGATGGAATTTTTTTATATCATTCAAAAGGTATTGTTGTCCTGAGCCTAAATTTGAAAAATATTTCACTTGTGATCATTTTTCGTAAAGTTATGAGGGTTTAAAGATTGCCATTTTGGCCAATTTGGGACAATTAACGCGCGATATATTTTGCGCTATTAACGCGTGAGCCGAGATTTAATCCGTCTCATAAATCGTTCCAAATTGGTTGAACGAAACTTATTTGCCATAATTGATTTGTTACAAGGAACGAAATCTATCTTTTTGTACTTTATATGGCGTGTGGGGGGATGATTTTCATTTAAAAATTTCAAATTTTAGAAAAAAAAATTCATTTCATTTTATTTCATTTATTTTTTTCTACGTATTACTGCTGCTCAATAAACCTTAAAAGGCAGTCGGAACATTCAGGGCTTCGCCCTGATACGAGCAGTCTTGTTTTTTCTTTATACTCTGTTCTTCAATTTTAACAAAACTATATCAATTCTAAGCTTGGTAAAATTAAAATCAATTCACAGGATGACCAGAACAAAAAGACGATGAAAAACAATACAACCATCTGCACATTTTACAGCAATTCTTCCATGTAACTGTTAAAACAAACGCTGTTTGATTATTGTACGGACATATGGGAAAATGCTCGCAGCAATCGTGATTGCTTGATTGTACTCGGAAATGTCGATAATAAACATCCAATTTTTGTTCTGGGAAAAGCTGTGAAATAAATCAATCAACTTTCTACGAAATCAATGACAAAGATTATCAAGCTTGGATCAAAAATCCAGGTTGTCATAATAATGGCATGAAAGAAGATTCCGATCCATGCGTTGTTTGAAGAAAAATGGCTGCGAGGTTTAAATTCAAAAGGGTTAAAAATTTAATCCAGTGCTGGATGTGAACTCTGGAAGCTTAAGAAAAGCGCATGATGGTAGAAACTGCTCCATTGGTGAATTCATAGAGGGAAAAGTACAAGAATCGTTTGTATGGGTGGCAACTCCTACAATGCGCGGTACAATGCACGCTATCATTGCGCGTCTAATGGTGACCAACTATTCGAAAAAATCAACAGAACGGACCGACAGTCCTTGTTTTCAGACGTAAAACAAAATCACGTGAGCTTTCAGGCTCAGAATGTTTTAGGTCGATCTTCCTTCTAGAAGTTTACCGAAACATCATTTGTGAAATTGTGAGTCAATATATTAGGTTTGTGCGAGATTTTGAACTTCCCAGAAGGAAAAAAGACGTGTTTGTATGTGGATGTATCAAGCATCCATCTAAAACACCCGTTGAAAAAAAAAACAATTTCAAGGCGGTACATCGCCCAGATTCCTTTGCCAAATTATGTAAATTTTTTTAAAACTCGAACTCAATTAAAGCGACAATAGCGTTCAATTGTACTCATACCCTCCAGTGGGGCTGATTGAGGCGGAGAAATCATATGTTGAGCCAAAGTCATTGAACAACTGTGTTTAGATTCTAACAGAAAAAATGAACAAAAATGAAAAATTTGAACAATTTTTTCACAAAATGGTCCACTGTAGACAAAAAATGAGACTAAACATGCTCAATTTTTTATAAGAGCAAATATGATGTGATTAGTTTGCGAAATTCAGACCCAAGGCTTAACCCTTTAGACTGGTAGTTTTTAGGTTAATTCAATTGGTGTAACGTTATTAACCGGCCAGTTTTCAAGCCAATTTTAACGTAATGATTATTCAGAATAACAATTTCAGAAATGTAATTGAAATTTGCAGTTCCGTTCGTCTTGTTCGAATAATTTAATTCGGCACTGTAAAAATTCATTGGTTTTAAAAGCAAGTCTTAAAGATCTCTTTTGTGATTGACATTCCCGACCGATACTCAAGTTTTCATCAAAAATTATTTTTTCCACAATATTAAAACTACATATTTTTGGGTCCTTTTTCTAGTTCCAAACCACCTCATCAAAAAAACGGACTGTATTTGCATGTGACCAAGTTGGAGTAATTATGGAATTGAAACATAGTCAATTTTTGGGAACCGATTTTGACATTTTGATTAGTTTTTGCAGTTCGATCAGCTTTTCTGGCACTTACAACAGCTATCTTTTTTCAGTCGCTAAAAAATCGATTAATATGAAATTGCGGAAGAGCAAGTTTTATTGCTTGCAAAAAGGTTACTACTGTGTTGCCCATCCGGGCCAAGGTTTGATTTATGATTAAACCATTGCGACCAAATAAAGGTTTCTACAGACTGTCGGTTTTTACATCGGGTGTTTCCAGATCACAGTAACGAAACTTTAATATTTCCAGATTGCAGATCTGGAAATTGTTTAATATTTCCATCGTTTAGTATTTCTGACGTCTGGAAATATTAAATTCTGGCCACGGTAGTCAGGAGACAAGCGAT